CTGGAGTTTTTGCTCAGCCTTTGCTATCCTTTGAAATCTGAGTAGCAGCAGGCTCCCGTGGGATACCCTTGGCACAAGCTGCTTGCTGTCAGGCTCCTTGTTTTGCCCAGGGCAGAAAGTACAAGCAAAAGCTTGAAATGCCCTTGCTGATGCATGAGCCATGCAGGCTCCAGCCTGCTCCGGGTACTGAGCACTGTATGCGTCGTCCATGTGCAGATGGAGCACATGGAAAACGTGCTCTGGCAGCAGCGTGGCCTAAACACTGCCCTATGGTGTATGCCCAGCACACCGGCATCAGGAGAGAGGTGGTGCCGGGGCAGCTCCTGGGCTTGGGCCCTCGATGGCGAGCGGGATGCTGCCGAGCATCCCGGAGCGTAGGGAAGGGAGGATGCTCGCCGCGGCTGTGCCTGGGGTTATCCGTGTGCCACAACCAGCGGTTTGGGATGCGAGGGTCCTCTCTGCCCCTCAGTGCCGGTCTGCCGGGGGGATTAGTCATCCCAAGGCCCGCGGGGATGCCGTGCCCCGCATCCCCCCCTCCTCGGGCACACCGCCCGCCCCGCCTCCGCCGGCCGGGCCGGGCTCCGGGCTCCGAGCTCCGGGCTCCGGGCCGGGCCGAGCCGTGCCCGGGAGGGCGGGGCTGGGCGGTGGCAGGGGGGCGCGGGGGCCGAGCCTGCGGTGAGGGGCGGGCCGGGGCGGGCGCTGCCGGGCCCCGCTCTCCGCGCCATGGCCCCGCCGCCCGCCGCGCTGCTCCTGCCGGCCCTGGCCGCGCTCCTGGCCGCGCTCCTGGCCGCGCCCGCCGCCGCCCGCGCCGCGCCGAGATCCATCGGTAACGAGGGGAGCGGGGCAATGGCACGGGGTGGGGAGGGGGGCGCCCGGCCCGGGTACTGGCAGCAGCACCGGGCCACCTCCTGCCCGCCTGCCCCGCCGGGGCCGGGAGAGGGGGTTCCGCACCCCTGCGCGGCGGCCGCGGGGCGCGCTGCCCTGCATCCCTGTCCCCGCTGCATCCCTGTCCCCGCTGCATCCCAGCGCATCCCGGCGGCATCCCCGCCCTCGCAGGCGGTGCTGGTCCCTTCCCCCCGCGGCCGGAGAGCACGGCCGGGGGCAGCGGCGGGTCCCCCGGGGCCCTGCTGACCCGGCCCCCTCGCCGCTCTGTGCCCGCAGCCGTGGTGGGCGCCGGGCTGGGGGGCTCGGCCGCCGCTTACTTCCTGCAGCAGCACTTCGGGCCGCAGGTGCAGCTGGACGTGTACGAGGCGGCGGGCGTGGGCGGAAGGCTGGCCACCGTCACCGTCAACAAGCAGCAGTATGAGAGCCGGGGAGCCTCCATCCACGCCCTCAGCCTCCACATGCAGGACTTCGTCAAGATCCTGGGTGAGCATGGGCATCCCAGCACTTGCGTGGCCTCCCTGAGCTGGGGGGCTGCGGGACCCCTGGGCTCTGTGCTTGGGGCAGTGGGGAGGGTTTCTGCCAGTCCCCCCCAGCACCCCAGGCATGCAGTGATCCCCCTGCTGTCCGTGCACCCCAGCCCTGTCGTGCCCTGAGGAGAAAGGGATCGGGTGGCCCAGCAGACCGTCAGGGTGAGGGGTCTGGTGGAATTAGTGTGGAGGGGGTTGTTCAAAAAATCCCACCAGTTTGTCCCAGTAGGCAGCAGCAACTCCATGGGACCCCCTAATGTACAGGATCCGACTGGGGTCCCAATGCCCTGGGGTCTCGCACTCCCTGATGCTCCTCCAAGAGCATCTTTGCCCATATTCCTGCTGTGGAGGTGTTGGGCACTGGCCTTTCCCAGCAGCCAGCCAGCCCCAGGGAGCTGTGCGAGCCCAGTGGGGCCAGGGTCCCTCTGCTCCTGGCAGGCCTCAAGCACCGGCGCGAGGTGGCCGGGAAGAGTGCCATATTCAGCGGGGAGCACTTCGTCCTGGAGGAGACCGACTGGTACCTGCTCAACCTCTTCCGGCTCTGGTGGCACTATGGCATCAGTTTCCTGCGCCTGCAGATGTGGGTGGAGGAGGTGATGGAGAAGTTCATGAGGTAGGAGAGCCTGTGGGGCTGGGGAGACACAGCGGATTTTTCCCAGCACTGGCACATCACCGGTTGCCCTGTGCTCCTGTCCCCTCCAGGATTTACAAGTACCAGGCTCATGGCTACGCCTTCTCCAGCCTGGAGGAGCTGCTGCGCTCGCTGGGGGGTGATGCCTTCGTCAACATGACGCAGCGCTCGGTGGCCGAGTCCTTGCTGGAGGTGGGCGTCACACAGCGCTTCGTGGACGACGTCATCGCGGCCGTCCTGCGCTCCAGCTACGGGCAGTCCGTGCTGGTGCCCGCCTTTGCAGGTGAAGCCAGGGACCCCTCTCCTCCCTGTGTGACTCTCCTCAGCACCCCCTCTGCGGGCAGGCTGTTGAGCCGCCCTCCTCTTCCTCTTCACAGGAGCCATGTCCCTGGCAGGAGCCCAGGGCAGCACCTGGGCAGTGGAAGGAGGGAATAAGCTGGTGTGTTCAGGTCTGCTGAAGGTGACCAAAGCCAACGTCATCCCAGCCAGGGTGACGGGCATCTCCCTGCACAGCTCGGGTGAGCCTGGACACGGGCTCTGCTCTGGGTGCAGCCAGCCTGGGTGTGGGTCTGGGTGAGGGTCTGGGTGCACCAAGATGGGAGGTTGGTGGTGGCAGCATGGAGATGCTGGGACTGGAGGGCATCCTGGTCCTCTTAAGGCATTTGGGCGAGGGTGAAGGGGTCTGTCTGTCTCATCTCCTTGTCTGACTCAGTGAGGACCCTGTAGTGCAGAAATCAACCCTGAGGTTCCCCTCCCTCCCTCATCATGTCCTTCAGGTCTCCCTATGTCATCATCCTTGTTGCAGACTTGCTCCCCCATCGAGCACAAAAGAAGAGTGGGATAGCTGGGATCTGGGAGGTGGGCTGGCCTTCTCTGGAAACTTTCTCCCACAGTCTTGATCAAGTTTTTCTGCTGCCCTAAAGTGTCAGCAACTCATCCATAACCATCAGGTGCTATGGTCAAGCACTGGTGTGTACTGGAAAACCAGTAGCATGGAGGCCATGCTAGAAAAGAGAGGGCCAGGGCAATACCACTGGAGTCTCAGGGCCACTCCTTACTGTCCACTGTCTCTTTTAAGAAGGGAGAGCCCTGTACCAGGTACACTATGAGACCAGCGAAGGCCAAGGCTCAGCTTTCTACGACATGGTGGTTGTGACGACGCCCCTGCATCCCAGCAGGAGCAACTTTACCTTTGAGAACTTTGAGCCACCCATTGCTGACTTCCCTGGAGCCTTCCAGCCCTCTGTCACCTCTGTGGTGCACGGCTACCTCAACTCCTCCTACTTTGGCTTCCCCGACCCCAAGCTCTTCCCTTTCACCAGCATCCTCACCACCGACACCCCCGACCTCTTCTTCAACGCCATGGATAACATCTGTCCCGTCAACATCTCGGCAGCGTTCCGGCGCAAGCAGCCCCAGGAGGCTGCGGTGTGGCGTGTCCTCTCCCAGCAACCACTGGACAAGCACCAGCTGAAGACCCTCTTCAGGTCCTACTACTCGGTGCAGGTGACAGAGTGGCAGACGTATCCCCGCTACGACGCCGCCAAGTCCCTCCCGCCCATCGTGCTCCATGAAAACCTCTTCTACCTCAGCGGCGTGGAGTGGGTGGCCAGCTCCATGGAGATGATAGCAGTGGCGGCCAAAAACGTGGCCCTGCTGGCTTATAACCGCTGGCATCAGGACCTGGAGAAAATCGACCAGAAGGACTTGATGCACAAAGTGAAAACGGAGCTGTGACGCCCGGAGGGCGGTGGACCAGGAGCTTCGGTGCGGGGCAGCCTGGGGAGTATTTATTGCCTTGGGGAGACCAGGGGTTTGGGGCTGGGGGACAAGGGACAGGCTGTGTCCCAGATGACTGGAATGTGCATCACCTTCAGGAATACAGTTCCTGCCCAGTGTTGCTGTGTCTGTGCCATGTGCCTCAGTTTCCCTGTTTCCCCTCCACAGGCTTTACTGGAGAGGAGGCTGTGCCTTCTCCTGTGAAAAGGGGTCACTGTGCATCTGTGTTTAGGAGGTATCTCAGGGGGCTTCCAGGGGAGAGGCTGGCTGGCATTGGCAGCAGATGGGGGCCTCCTATGAACTGCCTGGCTCCCACTACAGTCCTTCCTGCCTTCCTGGCTTTGCCCCTGTGGAACTCAGTGGCAGGGCTGGCCCTGGCTGGAGCAGGAGGTCCCACAGCCTCTGCCATGCCATGCGTGCATGGAGCTTAACCCTGCTCATGGGCTTGGTGCCCCGGGAATGGGCTGCAGGGTGGGCTGTCTCAGGTCCTGATGGGTGCTCTCTGTTTCTGGGGGTGTTCAGGCTTCCCTGAGCTCTGGGGGAGGCAGAAGAGTCTCGGTGGGAGAAGCTGGCACCCCAACCCTGGGCGGGCAGGGCAGAGGGGCAGCATGAAGGGCCGAGACAGGGGCCAGCAATGCACTTTATTGAAGACCTCAGAAGCTGCCCAAACCACTGGCCACTCACCCTGGACTGCCTGGCTTGGGGCAGAGGAACTTGTGGGAGGACTGGGGAGGGCTGGGTCCTACCAGAGCTGTGGCACCGATGGAAGGAACGAAGGCAAGTGGGGACTTTGGGAAGGGAGGAGGCCTGATCCTGCCCAGCCAGAGGGACCAGCAGGCAGCTGCCTCCCTCTGTCCCCCAGCCCATCCTGCTGAGCCCTGGAGGCTCAGCCTCAGGGCAGTGGATGTCTTGCTGCAAGGCCACAGGACTGCATAGCTGGGGGACTTGCAGGGGATCCCTCTTCACTAGGTGTCCCCAAAGTGGCTGCTTGGGCTCAGGCTTATGGAGTCTGCAGGGGAATTTCAGGGAGCTCCTGGAGCTGCCATGGCTTTGCGCAGGGGCTCCCCCACCCTGATGCTCAGCCAGGTGACCCTCTCCCAGAGGGCTGGGCAAGCTCGGGAAGCACGAGCAAGCTGGTTAGATGCCTATGGGTAGCTGCAGGGGTTAGCTTTGCAACCTCAGAAGATGCAGGTGCAGCCCACGGCAATGGTCTCCATGACCATCTGGTACTTCTTGTGGCACTTCTTCCCAGAGGGCTTGTGCCCCACCTCTCCTGGCACCTGGCAGAGCAGCCGGCGGACAGGGAGCCGGCTGTAGATGGGAATGCTGGCCATGGTGCGGTCCTCCTGCATCGTGAAGGGGTTGATGCAGCCAGTGCAGAGGCATCGGGCCTCGGGGATGTCTGCTGGGATCCGTGTTGCATCATGGTTTATGCTGGAGGAAATGGAAAATGAGATGAGGTTGGAGAAACGGTAGATGGGAGCAGTGGGTGGCTGGAGAGGGCAATGCCTCCCCAGGGTGAAGTGGGGTTCTGCATCACATCCTATTGCACCCTCCAGCAGCCACCACAGACTCGTGATGCTGGACCGGTGGCTGCTGCAGTGCTTTCTGGTACAGAAAGCATGCATGTCCCCAGGGTCCCTGCCCCAAGCTCACCTGTAGGCCCAGGGGGACAGGCTCCTCCGGTTGGACCTCCAGAGCCTCAGGTTGACCTGGCACTTGGTGTCACCTGGCTCAGAGCTGTTCCTCAGCTGGCGCACCATGTCCTGGATGCTGTGCTCGTAGTCTGCCATGGTGGTGTAAGGGTCATCCGGGGTCCAGGCAAGGGCAGGGGTGGCTGTTGGGGGCCGTGCCAGGCCCCTTCTCCTGCCCTTCGCTGCCTTGCTTTGGTCCTTTGCCTCAGGGACCAGTACCATGGCAAAGGTGAAGATGCAGAGGAGAAGCTGAGGAAGAAGGAGGATGGTGTGTGGCTGCAGGCCTGGCATGGAAGGGGAGCTCTCCCACTTCCCAGGGGTCAGCAGGTGATGGCATTGACTTTGGGATAGCTCGTGCAACCCCTAAAGGAGTGCAGGCCCGCAGGTGAGACCCATGGAAACATTGAGAGCAGTTTGCAGGGATGGTGAGCACAGGGTCATGATAACCCCAGCTGATGCATGTGGCTGTGAAGACCCTCGCCCTGCAGCTGGCAATTTGTGTTGCCGAAAGTGTCCCTGTGCTGCCCAAGATGTGCCCAGTCCCTTTGCTGCCCACCCAGCAGCTGCATGCTAGGAGGGATGGGTACACCTCAACTCAGGCTGTACCTGGGCAGCCTTTAGTTTAAAAGGAGCTTTAGAGATGAGACAGTCAAGAATGGGATCTTTATCCAAACCTTCCTCTCCCTCCCGCTGTGCTCTGAGGACGGTGAGAGAGAAAAGATGCTTTTTCCTTCCCTTCTCCCTCCGGCTCGCGGGGCCGAGCTGCCGTGTGCTGACACCCGGCAGGCTGCCCAGCAGTGAACAAAGTTGCTTTCTGTAGTCCTGCTCCCTGCTATTTGTGTCCCTGCAGTCAGCTGAGGCAGCCCCACACCCTGCCCATGGGTGTGCAGTGCCCTGGGACAAGGACCACTTGGCCAGGGCTGTTTTCCCCCTCCGGTGCCGGACGGTCCGATCGGACTGTCCCAGCTTTGCTCTCCGAGGCTGTTGCATCTTCACCATGCCAGGCATGGGAGCGATGGCCCTGGCGGGCCGCAGCAGGCATCTCCAAAGCAAACAAACCCAGGTAGCCACCCGTAAACAACCATGCAAATAATTATATTAAGGAAGGAAAATGAGGAGCAAGCCCTGAACCACTGTGGAGTCACCTACCAGGTTTGGAGCCCGCTCCATGGCCGCGGAGGGGCTGCCGGCCGCTGTCCTGCAGTGTGGCTGGCACCAGAGAGCTGGGGAGCTAAAAAGGGAAAGCCCCAGCCCCTGGCTGTGCCCCGCCAGAGGTGTGTCCGGTCCCCAAGGTGCCAGGGAGGCTCGGTGCCGGCAGGGCAAGGGGCCAGTGTGGTCTGGGACTTGGCCACCCTCTGCTGCTCTGGGCACTGGCTCCACGGTGGTGGTAGTGGCTGTGGTTGGTGGTGAGTCCCCCCTGGACCAGGCAGCCCAGAGGGGCTCCCTGGGCAATAACCTGCCCTGGGGAGGGGGTTTGGGCTCTGCCCTCCCTGTGTCACCACCAGCAGCTCTGTCCTCAGGAACCCCCAGACTCTTCTGCCCAGCAGTGAGGCGATGACACCCATCATTCTCTGCATCCCTGGTCTGTCTGTCCCCAAACCCTTCCCCTCCTGCTGTCCTCACACCCCTTCTCAACTCCTGCCCCTGCAAACGCAGCAGCTGTGCCCACAGCTGGCCGTGGGTCGGGTCGCCAGAGCTGCAGGGCAGTGGGTGTTAGTGGTGGGTGATGCTCTGGCTTCTGGGGCCAAGCATCAGGGTGCAGGGTGCTGCGGGGGAAGAAAGTGAGACACAGGGGTGCCGGCTATAATGCCCCGTCCCCAGGGACGGGGGAGAGTGGGCTGCCCTGGACTGTCGCTGTCCCTGCGGTCAGGTACCACGCGATGGTGCTGTCCGCCACTCAACAGCATCCCAGTCTGCATCCCTCCTCCTCTCCATCCCTTCCTGCATTCCTCCGCCCCTCCATCCCGCCCTCCATCCCTCCCTGCATCCCGGTCTCCTCCCCTCCCAACCCCAGCCGCAGGCGGGGGACCCGGCGCTGTTCCCCACGCTCCCGAGCAGCAGGCTCTGCCCTGCTCCTTTGGTGGCAGCACTAGGTGATGAGTTTCCCTCCTTCTCCCGACTCACTGCACATCCCCAGGGATTTGAAGGCCCTTGAGCTTTGTAGGGCAGTGGGAAATTTCCACCTCCTTTTCCCAGTCCATGAACTGGGCCTCCAGAAAACTCTGCAAATGGGGTAAAAGCCACTGTCCCTCTCCCCCTACCAGCCCGAGGAAACACAGCCCAGCTGCTCCCATCCACCCCAGCCCATGTTAACATCCCCAAGGACAGCCCCAGCACAGAATTTTGCAGGCTTTGCTGTCCCCTGGGGTGAAGTCTGATGCTGTGCACTGAGCACAGTGTCCCGTTTGTCACCTTGGGACCTGGCAGAGGTGACCTGGCTGTTGCAGGAGCCCTGCAACCACCTGCCTGTGCTTCACCAGGCATACAGCAGCGCCCAGCCCTCTGCCACCAGCCTTTTCTGGGGTGCTGAGCCAGTCCCTGCCTGCACCCAGCGACTTCACCCCCTATTCTGTGACCCCCAGAAGGGCTGGTGAAGCAGCCCCAGGCCGGGGGCGCCTGCGTGTGCCGCGGCCGCCTGCGTTGTGTCAGCGCTCGGCAATGCTGTTTACACATGAGAGAGGCGCAGAGGCATCTGTGCCGGCAGCCAATTACCCAGTTTTGATCTTTTTTGGTGAAAAGGAAACCAGGGCTTTTCAGACATGGCCAAATTTGATAAGCTGGGGGAGGCAGGGGCGGGCGCGGGAGGCTTTTCCCCACCGGCCTCGCGCGCAGGAAGGGGTTGGGATGCGCGGGCGGCTGGGTCATGGCCAGCCTCTGCCTCCAGGCTGGGACAGGCTGGCTGGAGCACTCTGTGTGCCCATGCTGGCTGCAATGCCATCCCTGTGGGAGCAGAATGTGCTGGGGTTGGATGGCTGGGAAGGGCTGGAAACCCCACAAGGCTTCCCTGGGAGGGTGTTGCCTGGAGGGGAGAGATGTGCTTTTGGTTTTGTTGTAGGTGCTCACCCCTCCTACCTCCCTACCACATTGCCCTACTGCTATGGGAAACTTAGGTGGAAAGCAGAGCCTGGAGAGTGGGAACAGGCCCCCCAAAATGGGGCAGAAGGGGTCATGAAGATAGGCTCTACCTACCCCAAGGAAACACAGGTGCTTGTTTGCCAGGGTAACCATCATGGAACCCACAGCTGTGTCCCAGCCCAGCCAGAGGTCCTGGGGTAGAGGGATGCAGGACAGCTGTGTCCTGCCGTGCTCAGTGGGAGGGATGCACTGGGCAAGGAGCATGTGGCAGAGCACACGACAGGGGACCATGGGTAAGGGAAAGGGGAGAAGTCAGACCACAGTTCCACACTGGCAGAAAATAGCCTTTTGCCTTTTTCCATAAGCAGCAATGCCCCTGCCTGGGCAGGAGCCTCTTGTGTGGGGTCTGTGGTCCCACAGTGGGCAGCATCACTGCTAGTGCCACTCTGCAGGGCATAGCAGCTTCTCCAGGCACCAGGCTGCTCCCAAGCCTGGCTCCTCATGGGGTTTGTGAGGCCCCGGCACAGCCGAGCACACACCCACACCTGGGCCAGACGGATGGGTCTGGCGGGAGGCTCTGGCACGGCCACGGCACATCCTATCTCCACGTGAGCAACATTTTCCACTCATCAAAGGAAAGCGTGTTCCAGCGAGCTGTCCTGGCCAGAGCCAGCCCCGTGAGGAGGGCCAGAGCCGAGGGCCTCCTGCATCCCCCCGCTCCCCCCGGCAGGTAGAGCCGGCCCAGCGCGGAGCTCACATCCATATTTGCACAACGACCCACTCGGCGCGTGAGCGGCCCCGGAGACGCCCGAGCCAAAAAGGCTTATTTTAAGCTTGCTGGAAAAAGAACATTGTTTGGTGGGAATTAAAACTCCCTGTCCTCAAAAAAGGGAAAAAAACAAAAAGTGCTTAATTCTGCCAGCTCCTGCCGTCGCATAAACACAGAGACACGGCACGGCTGGACAGGGTGGCCAGGAATTCATCATTCCTCTCCTCCCGGCAGCTGTTGTGAGACAAGGACCCATGCCCTTCTGTGTCCCCACGATGCCAGCACTCTTCCCAGAGACCTCATCCTGGCAGGAAGGGCTTTCCCATGGCAGGAAAGGGGCATTGCCCAATGCAGTGCTGAGGTGCTGCGGGCAGGAGGGTGACCGTGTTGGCAGCCCGGGGTCTCGCCGTGCCAGGGCTCTGCATCAGTGGACAATATTATTTATATAGCCCTAATCCAGTTGTCCCGGCAGCCCTTCTGCCTCCCCGGGCGGGGAGCTGGGTGATGCTCTGGGCTGGCTGTAAATCACGCCCTTTGGATCACACTCTGGAGATAACAGCCAAGCTTCGGCGTCGGGAGGCAGAGCTGAGCAGGGCTGTCCTCTGGAGCTGGGGCCAGGGGGCCAGCAGCACCCCAAGCTGCCCACCCCCCGGACAGGAGGTTCTCGGGGGGCTGGAGGCGTCGGGAGAGCGGCTGCAGGCAGCGCCGGGACGGCGGGGAGGGAGGGAAGATGCGTATCCAGCACATCCTGCCGCTCCCCGCCGGCACATCCATCAGCCGCCCAGCGTTTACAGCACGTCGCTGGTTACACGATCCAGACGCGCAGGTTCCTCCTGCCCCGCTCCTCTCCTGCCTTTTGTTTTCTTTTGCCTTCTGCTCCTGGAGACAGAGTACCTGATGGAAAAAGCCTGTTCTCCTGCTCCCCGTGCTGGAAACACCCTGTTCCTTCCGCCTCTGCCCGGCTCAGCTCCCGGAGCGGGGCCGGCAGCGGCTCCCTGCCCTGGTGTCCCACGTGTGGCTCCCCGATGGTGGCACTGGGACAGGACTGGAGAGGCTGGTGTGAGTGCAAGGCACGGACAGACCCTGGTCCCTGCGAGACCCTTTGGGTACTCTCTGCGAGGCAGCCCCAGCTCCTCATAGGACGGAGTGGGGCAAAGCCACAGTCTCCTCCGGGGCAGGGAGGCTGCAAGGACCACCGAGGCTACCCAGGCACATATCCCATCAGCCTGCTGAGCCCAGCGGGCACCTGGCCCCATGCCTTGCTCCCTCCATGACCCCCGTGCTTGCCCTCCTGCCTTCCCTAGCCTTTTGGGCTCATGGGCTCAGTGCAGAGCAGGGATGGCCAACGCAGGGTTTCCAAATAGCTCAGTTTTCCTTTCTCCTGCACCTAAGCCAGGGAGTTGGACACCAAACCCTGAGTGCTCTGAAGGGGTGGCTCCACTTTGTGCTGGATTTCAAAGGGGAGACATAATCTTGTCAGGATGCTCTCTGCATCCCAGCTCCTGGCTGCAGGAAGGGCTGACCCTCCAGCCCCATGTTGGATACACAGAGCAGCCTGGAGCCATCCCCATGGCCTTCCCTCCAAGGCCACCGGGCTGGAGGATGCTCCCAGGCACATGCTTCCAGGGCAGTGATGCCCTCTGGGTTTATGAGGAGAAAGCCTCTTATTTTTAGGGCTTTGGTGACTTTTGCTTTTGGGCAGGCGTCCCAGTTCCCAGTTTCCCAGGGCAAGGCAAAAGGCAGAGGTAAATGGAAAGCTTGGCGCTGATGACTGCCCTGGTGGGTTGTGCTCATGTTAAACTTCTCCCTGTGTCCCTGGGCATGGGACCACTGCAGCACATGCAGGGTCTCCTGAGCTTCTGGGTAATCATCATTAGACGGGAGCTGGTTGCTTGAAGTAAGGGCAGACAGTCTTCTGCTCTGGTCTGCATTCCCTGCTCCTCCATGCTGCTGTTTTAGCAGTCTAGGGTGGGCAGGGATTCACAGAGCAGCACAGGCCAGTCCTGAAGGTCACCTTCAGAGTCGCTCCAGCCCAGCTCACCCATAAATCACAGTCTTGCCCTACATGGGGGTGAGGGAGGCAGTGGCTGTAATAATATACAGGCCGAGAAATGTCCTCCTGCCCCCCAGCAGACTCCTCTGACGTCAGGCAGCAGATGAAAAGGCTGTAAATTTGTTGGGTTTGGGTCTTAGCAGGGCTTGTAGGAGAAGGGTTTCTCTTACTGCTTGTAGGTGGGAGCAGCCATGCAGAGCCTGCCCAGGGGCTCCCTCTCCATCACTGCTCCGTGGCATCACTGCATGTGCAGCTGGCAGCCAGTGGTTCCCT